GAGCCACTGATGTGCTTTATGTCTGTTGAAAACTCATAGATAAATGACAGTTGGCGTAACTGAGCTGGAGGCAACTTGTCACGGCGCTGTTGAAAGGCATAAATAAGTGGTTTATGATCTGTGAATATAGTGAAAGAAGTTGTTTCCAAGAGATGACGGAAATGCTGCACAGCTTCATAAATAGCGAGGAGTTCTCTGTAGTATGCAGGCCAGATGCACTGGTTGGATGATAGTTTCTTGGAGAAAAAACCTAGAGGTTGCCAAGAGTCATCGACAAACTGTTGGAGGCAAGCACCTACGCTTACTCCAGAGGCGTCTGTAAAGAGACCAAGAGAAGCATCAGGTTTAGGATGAAACAATAGTGTTGCTGATGATAAGCTAGCCTTGCATGCTTGGAAAGCTTCTTCTGTCTCTGGAGTCCAGGGCACAGGGAGGGAACCTTTTGAATCAGCGTCACTAAGTAGGAAGTGCAGAGGTGCTTGAAATTCGGCAGCCTTAGGCAGAAACCTACGATAAAAGTTCATAATTCCCAAGAATCTGCGAAGACCACGCATTGTCTGAGGTAACTGGTAGTCTTGTAGAGTAGTGACTCTCTCCTGAGGTGGACGTGTCCCAGCAGATGAGACTAAATAACCTAGAAATTTAACTTCTGGTGCACCAATTACACATTTAGAGGGATTTACAACTACTCCATAGTCAGAAAGTCGTTCAAACAACATTCTTAGGTGTTCTTTATGTATTTCTTCAGACTGGGAAAATACTAAAATGTCGTCAATATATGCATAACAAAAGTCAAGGCCGTGAATAACTTCATCTATGAATCTTTGAAATGTTTGACCCGCGTTGCGCAAGCCAAAAGTCATGAATGGAAATTCAAACAACCCAAATGGAGTGGTGATTGCTGTTTTTTGGATGTCATCTTCGTGGACGGGAATTTGGTGGTAAGCCTTGGTCAAATCAATGGCAGAGAAATGTGTACAGCCTGCTAAATTGAACAAAAAATCCTGAATATGTGGTACAGGGTATCTGTCAGGAACAGTACGAGCATTTAAAGCGCGGTAATCACCGCAAGGACGCCATCCATTTTCCCCTTTAGGCACCATGTGCAAAGGAGAGGACCAGGGGCTTTCAGAGGGTCGAGCAATACCAAGCTTAACCATCTCCTCAAATTCTTTCCGGGCAGCTTTCAGTTTTTGAGGATGCAAGCGACGTGGTCGACAGTGAACAGGAGGACCAGGTGTAACATTTATATGATGAACTGTTTTATGTTTCACAGCACGAGGTAAGCCTGGAGGACGAATAATATCAGGGAATTCAGATAAAACTTCTGCCAATGGCGAGGAGAAAGATATAACTTTAATACTAGTTTGATTGTTGTTAGAAACTATTCCCTCGGCATTCAATCCCGTTTTCTTGTCAACCAAACATTTCATCTTGCAATCGGGTAATAAGTGATAGTGTGAAAGGAAGTCTGAACCTAATATAGGTATTGAAACATCCGCTACCACTAGACTCCAAGGGAAATTACGTCTAAGGCCTAAATTAAGGGTGAGAGGCATGGTACCATAAGTCTTTATTTCACTGTTATTGGCAGCACTTAGTGAATAGCTAGTAGGAAAACGCTTATATTTGATAAGGCGTTTAGGAAAACACGACACATCAGACCCAGTGTCGATAAGGAACCTAGTTCGTGAATTTCTGTCCATCACAAAGAGACGGCCGCCAGCATTTGAACAATCCGTTGCGGCCTCTACGGATTGTTGCTGAGGTTTCCCTGAAAAGAGCATGGAGAAAAACATTTGGTAGCATTGTTTTTGAATTTTCTATGGTACCAGCACCAATTCCTAGAGGTATTGGGCTTGTTTCCTGATCTACCACGAGACTGGGAACGACCCCTAGGTCTCACCTGTGTATCTCTTACTCTGGTTTCTGATAATGCTTGAACTTGTTTAGAGAGGGATTCTATTGCATTTAATAAAGAAGCGTTACCTGAAGGGACTTCACAAATACCAGGTGTTAAAGGAATGTCAGCCACCTCCATGATCTTATCAGCCAGTTCTGCCAGTTTGTCCAAGGAGAGCTCAAGTTGCGTAGTCAATATGGCTTGTGAATGAGGAGGGAGTCGTCTGAGCCACAGTTGACGAAGCATGTTGTCTTGAAGGGGAGTCGAGCCCGCAAGAGACCTATGATGCCTCAAAAACTGGGAAGGCTTGCGGTCTCCAAGGTCCTCTTCACTCAGCAGCCGCCGCACACGTTGCTCTTCGGATGCAGAGAGGCGTTCAATCAGTTTCTTTTTTAGATGTCCGTATTTGTCGCCTTGAGGAGGGTTTGTTATGATGTCTTCGACTTCAGCAGCAATTCCTGTGTCCAATTGCGAGACCACGTAGTGAAACTTGGTGTCGTCGTTGGTAATTCCAGATATAAGAAATTGCGAGTCAACTTGACAGAACCACAGACTTGGTCTTTCAGGCCAAAAGGGCGGAAGTTTGACGGCTACTCTGTTGACCGACATGTTTTGAGAAGTGCTGGGTTGTCCAATCCGTTGACGCAGTTCTTCATTCGCAGTTCTACGTTCGGCGAGTTGAGTCTGCAGGTCTTCTAATGACATCGTTCGAAGGAGGAAACACCAAAGATTTAAACTCTTCAAAGAAAATAAGTCTTTAGATAACGGTTGTAGTCGGGGTCACCATTTTGGTCGTGGTTGTTTGTGTATATCAAATGAAATACGACCAAATAAGTAAAAGAAAAGTAGTTTAATAAGAGAGTTAAATTTTGTGTACATTCCTGTAGAAAAACAAAAATCAGACTAAATCAAATCATAATTGGTTGCTATGACAACGTCATCAGCTGACGCTACAGCTACTACCACCGTAGTTTGATTTACCCAGCTACTACTACCCAGGACCGATTTACTTTTACATTTTGATATCCCGGAGGCCAAAAACACTGTCCACTCAAATTCATATCTATATATTTTTATAGCCTACCCTACAGCCAGGCCCGCCGAGAGGGGGGGGCCAGCGGGGGCATTGCCCAGGGGCCCGGGCCTACAAGGGGCCCGGGCCCGGGCCGGGCCTGGTCTAAAATGTAGTTGGGATGTAGGATGGGGGAGTGGAGTGGGCCCGCGGCAACGATTGCCCAGGGGCCCGAGATTTCTCTCTGCGGGCCTGCCTACAGCCTATAGTTCGCAAACCAGCTAGATTGGACTAAGGGAGCAGGGTTTTATTGAGGTTAATTGAGCGTTTTATGCCCGGGGTAAAAATGTGTTTTTCCCACATTTAGCAACTTTTTGTTTAGGCTATTTCATACTTACTTACTTACTGCTGGGGCGCTACAAATCGCAGTCGATTCTTCGCCTCGTAGATCAGCCTCTTCCACGCTTCTCTGTCCGCTGCCATCTCCACTGTCCCTCCACACTGACTCACATCTCTCTTAACTTGGTCATACCATCTCATTTTTGGTCTACCCAATGGACGCTTTCCAGTTGGTACAGCAGAACATACTTCCTTCAGTGGAGGTGAGAGGTAAGCGTAAGCTCCTCAGGGAGGGGGAGCTGTCTATGACAGCTCCTCCTCCAAGACCGCTGTGAGTCGACTTTGTTCAGCAAAGTCGTACTGTGCTATGCACAGCCTGCAAGGGGTGCCTCTGCACTCGCTGAAGGCAGCGGATCTAGCGCTGGCTGTGTCGTGACTAGACAGCCCTAGGGTAGGGAGCGGCTGCTCTAGTACTGGCCTTGGGCGGAGGTGACAATCACCAATCCGGCCAAGGCCCAGATAGCTAATGTTACCGCCAACTGTTACAGGTATGTGTGCAGCTGTGACAGGACTGAGCTGGAGACGATGAGGGGTCCAACCCCGAAAGGGTCCAGTCTTGGATATTAGCAGGCGTAGTGAGTGGGTCACGGTTCGGCTGCTAAACTGCTAACTTTTTTGCTTTTCTTGTTTTAGTAATGGCTGAAAGTAAACGAACGGAATCATTACCCCAGGTGGGTACCTGCTCAAGCGGGGAATCCCACTCCTCCTTTTTGGAGGACAAGCCCATGGATTCTGGGGAGGGCAACGATCAGCTTTCCTTTAACAATGATAATGTTACTGTGCAGAACACCGCTATGGAGACGGAACCTGGGGAGATCCTGGACTCGCCAGAGGTCTTCTCGAGAAGTTCCTTAACAGCAAGAACTCCACCCAATTCATCTACTGATGTGCTTGAGCTTTGCCACAGGTTAGATGCAGACCTGAACAAGCCACTAAACACCAGCAGTGCTGGCGACTCTCCATCTCTGGCGGATGTTTCGTCCGACTCTGAGATCACTTTTACAGTTATGACCAAAACTGAGTACAATATGTCTGTTAGAGAAAAGAAAAAGGCTGAGGGCACGTGGATCCCTAACAGACAGTGGAGAAAGAGGAAGCGAGAGTCCTTGAGTTCTCCTGGGGAAGGTTCAGGCGTATCACCGATGCGTAGAACCGGATCCGATAGTAACCCTGGGTCGTCTCAAAATCCTCCTTCTAAGAGAAATAAAAACTCTAATCAATCAGCAGATGGACTCGTTGCAGGAAAGGCCAGCTACAGAGATCAGCTTGTGGGTCACAAGTTGGCAGTAGCTCCAGCGGCCTATCCCGATGCGAGATTCTCTGTTGAGGAATGTGATTTGTTGCAGGACAAACTGATGGAGTTGGTGTTTGGTGATGACGGCGCCAACATTCCTCATCAGTTTGAAAAAATTTACCATGAGAAGGGTGCTCTTGTCGTAACTTGTGGTAATTCTGAAACAACTGACTGGCTAAAGAGGGTGGCACCGAAGCTGGCGCTGGGAAGTGAGGGGAGTATGGAGGTCATTGTAGCAGACTATAAGGATCTGTTGCGCACGACCAAAGTGCTCCTACGCACTGACAGGCGCTTGGCCAAGGTCGAAGCCTCTAAAGTGTTTGTTCAGATTGAGCGACAAAATCCTGGTGTCACGACAAAGGACTGGCGCGTCATTGGTGGGAAGAGGAAGGATGATCATCAGATTCTTGTTCTTGCTATTGATGAAATGAATGCGCAGGTTCTGAAAGATCGTGGCTGGATTATCTATCTGGGTCTGGGGAAAATACAGCTCAGAGTTATCTCTGGTGCTCCCTCTGATGACTCAGGTCCTTCAAGCGAACCTACAACACAGTAAGGCTGCCACGGCTGTGTTCTGTCTGAGCACGGTTAAGCAGTCCTTAGATTATGCCTTGATTCAAGAACCCTGGATCAATAATTTTAGAATTGCGGGGATGGGAACTATAAAGGGTAGCATCTTCTCTGCATCTGTACCACACCCTAGAACTTGCATTTGGGTTAAAGAGGGGCTAAAATGTAATCCAGTTCTAGAGCTTTGTTCGAGGGACGTAACAGTAATTAAGACTGTATGTACTAAATCCAACATAAATCTGCTGCTGGCCTCTGTTTACATGCCACAGGGCGACGATGGACTGCTCCCATCGGCCGAGGTCAGAAGATTGGTCGACCTCGCACACGAGTCTGGATCTGAACTCGTGATAGGCTGCGACTCCAATGCCCATAATACGGCCTGGGGATGCAGGGACACTAACAACCGAGGTAGGTCACTTCTAGAATACATAGCTTCTTGCGGCCTACTTGTTGCAAATGTAGGCTCAGAACCAACTTTTTTAAGCAGGATAGGCCAATCAGTAATTGATCTTACCCTGTGTTCGGCGGGTATGGCTGACAGGATTATTGACTGGTCAGTGTCCCTTGAGCCATCCCTGTCTGATCATAGGCACATTGTCTTCGGGTTGGGGAATTTCTGCGGCGAGGTTCGCTTATTCAGGAGCCCAGTTAAAACCGACTGGGCATCCTTCAGAGCTGATCTTCGGGGCAGAATTGCCTCGAACCTGAACACATCTCCTATTAACACAGTTGATGCGCTTGACGAGGCGGCAGATCGTCTAACTAGGTGCATAGTTACATCCTTTGAGGATAATTGTCCTTTGAGCAAGGGAAAGAGCAACAGGGCTAGTTGGTGGGGTCCTGAACTTGCCTCTCTTAGGAAGAGAGTAAGGGCCCAATTTAGGCGAGCAAAGATAACCAATAATTGGGATACATATCATACAACTCTCACAGAATATAACCATGCAGTACGTAAGGCCAAAAGGCTCTCATGGAAAAATTTTTGTGGAAATTTAGAGAGTATCAAGGATACTTCTAGAATACATAAGGTACTTGTTAGAGACAGGCATGTTACTTTGGGTGCCGTTGAGGGACCGGATGGTGTAATGGCTTTTGAACCTACCGAAATACTAAAGGTTATGGTAAAAACTCATTTCCCTGGTTGTATTGTTTCTGAAGTGCAGCAGGAGGAGGTGAGTCCAGAGCGGCCTAACCTGGGCCGTCGTGCCACTCATTCTATGTGGAGCACTGCTTGCCGCATAGTCACCTTCAGCAAGGTAAGATGGGCTGTTGGCTTATTACGACCCTTCAAATCGCCGGGTCCTGATGAGGTAAGACCTGTTTGTTTGCAGGAGGGTCTTGATACAATTATACACCCACTCTGTAAACTTTTCAGAGCCAGCTTAGCGTTAGGACATATTCCCTTAGGGTGGTGTAATTCGCGTATCGCATTTATTCCTAAACCAGGAAGGGATAGTTACACTGACCCTAAGTCATTCAGACCCATTTCTCTATCTTCTTTCTTTCTTAAGATCCTAGAGAAGTTGGTCTCAAGATATATGATGGATACAGCTCTTAGGACACATCCTTTACATATTAATCAGCATGCGTATGTCTCAGGAAGATCATGCGAGACTGCGTTGCACCAACTTGTAAGCAAGATTGAGAAAGCTCTAGAGAGCAGTGAAGTGGCCCTGGGTGCCTTTCTCGATATTCAAGGTGCTTTTGACAATACTGGTACTCCAGCGATTCTTAATGCGGTGAGAGCAAGAGGTTTTCACGGTATAATATGTAGATGGATTGAATCCTTGCTTCTCAGTAGGAAGGTTAGGCTCTCACTCCACAATGATACGATCGAGGCAAGAACTACTCGAGGATGTCCTCAGGGGGGGGTTCTTTCTCCTCTACTTTGGAATTTGGTAGCAGACGACCTTATAAGGACCCTCAACGAAAGTGGGGTTTTCGCCTTAGGTTATGCTGATGATGTTGCAATCCTTGTGGTTGGAAAGTTCCACGGAACCATAACTGACCTTATGAATAGAGCTTTAAGGGTAGTGGACCGTTGGTGCCAGGATGTTGGGCTCTCTATAAATCCCAGGAAAGTTGTAATGGTACCCTTCACAAGAAGGAGGAAACTGGACGGGATCGGCCCACTAAGACTGCAGGGTACTGTAATAGAGCTGCAGAATCAGGTGAAGTATCTTGGTGTAATTTTGGACAGATCACTTCACTGGGGACCACACCTTCAAAAAGTCATTGAGCGTGGCAAATGGTCCCTTATGGCATGCAGGCGGATGGTAAGTGGCACATGGGGGTTACAGCCTAAACTTATGCACTGGCTGTATGTATCTGTTGTTCGACCCGCCCTTACATATGGTTCGCTTGTGTGGTGGCCAAAGATGGAATCAACTATAGCTGTCAAAGCTTTAGCAGGAGTTCAGAGGCTTGCTCTTATTATGATAACTGGGGCAGTAAGTAGCTGTCCTGGAGCGGCACTTGACTGTCTGCTTGACATGCTACCTATTGACATTTATATTAAGGTGGTAGCAAGTAAAACAGCCCAACGCCTTAGATGCGAAAACTTATGGATAGCCTCAGGGAACAATAAAGGGCACTCTAAAATTGTTCAGGTGGTACATAATGATGAATTGGACTTACCTTCAGATCACATGTCCAAAAAATACTCCTTTGGAAAGCCTTTCAAAGTACTAATACCAGATAGGAAGGATTGGTCTGGCGGAAAAGGACCCATACCCACAGGTGACTTAGAATGCTATACTGATGGTTCTAAGATCAAAAATGGGGGCACTGGAGCAGGTGTGCATTGGATGAATGGAGGCACTGGTATTTGTCTTCCAATGGGGGTGTACCCAACTGTCTTTCAAGCGGAGGTCACTGCCATTCTAGTTTGTGCTCAAGAACATCTTAACAAAGATATCAGAGACAAAACAATCAATATCTTTACTGATAGTCAAGCGACCTTAAAAGCATTAAACTCTTACGAATTCAACTCCAGGCTCGTGTGGGATTGTCTTGCTTCTGTGTCTGAGTTGGGTAGGAGAAATGACCTTACGCTTTGCTGGGTACCAGGACACTCAGGCATTGAAGGAAATGAAGCTGCAGACAGATTGGCAAATACTGCCTCTGCGACATCATTGTTAGGCCCGCAACCCTTCTGTGGCATCTCACGAAACAGTGTATGTTCTGCGATTGCGTCATGGGCCAAGGAAAAGCATCGCAAACGCTGGGTCGATGTTCCCCTTCTTAGGGTCAGCAAGCTTACTCTGTTTAGGCCTTCCAAAAAGGTTGCCTGTGACCTCTTGAGACTAGACAGACGAAGAATTAAATTAATTGTTGAACTGATAACTGGTCATGGAAGATTCAGGAAACATCTACAACGGATGGGCTTATATGATGGTGAACCGATCTGTAGGTACTGTGATAGGTCAGAAGAGACAGCTGATCACTTACTCTTTGATTGTATTGAGCTCTCTGACGCTAGATCGATAACTCTTGGAAATATGGCTAGAGGTAGATTTCTTCCTGAGGATGAACTAATTGGGAAGCTACAGGCATTCATTGGGCGCCTCAACTTGTAGGTCAACAAGAAAGCAATTAAGTATCTGGGGTGCGCAATAATTCGATTTCGGATGAAGTGCTTTAAGGTCTCGACCTGCCCCTGTCAGATAAGATAAGATAACTTCCTTCAGTCTTGTTCCTTCTTCCCTTCGCAATACATGACCTAGCCAACCTAATCTTTTTGCCTTTATCAAAGCTATTATATCAGGGTCCTGGTATAACGCTCGTAGCTCTCTGTTTTTTCTAATCCGCCATTCTCCTTCTTCGTTTACTGGGCCGAATATTTTTCTTAGGACCTTGTTTTCAAAAACAATCAAGCTAATCTATCAAAATGTAAAAAAAAAAAAAAAACACATTATTTACCTTCCCGATAGAAGCAAACCTAGGAACTTCCTAAACTTAAAATAGTTTTAGTAGAAAATAAATCTGCCCATTAATATTAAGGGAATATTTTAGTAAAATCCAACCAGGTAAATAGAAATTCGCTTAGTCTGCAGTTTTGCTGCAGCGGGGGTATTATGTAGTGGTTGTTTCACAATGTTTGGTCTTTCTAGTTCATTTGTATAGGTCAACGATATTGCCCTTTTATGTAGTCAAATATGAAATCTGAAAAACTGAAGAGTTTTACAAGCAATCTTAATCGTTGTTATTTTCAGGTAAACAAAGATTAATGATATGTGATTGTAGACTAATGGGACCACGAACTGGAATGTTAAAGTTGGGTCCTTCATTTTCAAAGACGCCGTATAAGCGTAAGTATTCCATCCTCATAACCTCACAAAAATCAATGAATAAAATGTCAGTCAACACCAGAGAATGTTACACCCCTAGGGACAATACCCTGATCTTTATTATTGCTTTGCTACATAAGCCATGCCAGATTGCCTAATTAAATTAAAACTCTGTAAAAAAAACAGAGACTGACAAGTGATCCAAAGACTGATAGCGAATTAGTGCTCGTAGATGAGAATCGACTTAAGTGCCAGAGGTCTTAAGTTACCATATGATCGCCATTTCAAAGTAAAGTGTAGGCTTACAACTACTTCACTGTGAAATGCTGTGACAATCCAGATTCATTATTTATATTAACTGTTGGAAAAATATAATGTGTAACAACGAGTGCAAACTGCCTTTGCTGCACTCGAATAAACATTTCCCATCAACTATGTCAGCAACAAAAAATGTATGGCCTCGTCCTATAAAACTTATTACATATTGCTACACTTAACAACAAAGCTAACAATTCTTCTGACTTTCTTTTCCCACTAACTTACAACGTGTACATTTTTTTGCATAAATTTTACTTTGGTTTATGTTGAAATAATTATTTTTGAATAATTTGTTTTTACTTAAGTAACAAAAATTGTGTTCGTTTCAAACCAGATTTTTGTTTCAGCTGAACTTTACTCATTTACGCAGTTGCCTTCGGTTCTTTTGTTGAAATGCCCAGAAAATGTAGAAATAAAAACATACAGTCTTATATCCTCTTTGAAGGTAAGTTAGAATTTCTACTTTCTATATAAAATAAATATATAGGATGGAGAGGACACAGCTAACTCACCTGATGAAAGGTTGCTACTTTACGAGGCCGATGTCGTAAACCATCTTACATCATTCAAAAGTGGCGATTATGTTGTTGAAAAGCTGAATACCAAGTATCCAACCTATAACTCCTTCAAAGTTGGTGTTCCAGAACCGCTATGGGATAGCATTTTTTGTGAGGACTTTTGGCCGGAAAACACTTTCATCAGTGAATTCAAACTACCAAGGCGCAATTTAAACTCTCAACGCACGGCCGAGACTGGGGCAAACATAGCCTAAACCCAGTAAATGATAACCTTAATGTCTTGTTTCTTAATGTGCAGGGGTTACATTCCAAGGAAAACATCTTAGGCCTACATGCTGTGAGTAATCAGTATGACTTTCTCTGCCTTAGCGAGCATTGGTTGAACCCAAACGAGGCAGGTTATGTTATCGTTGAGGGTTATGAGCTTTCATCGATATTTTGTCGTAAAACCCATATAAGAGGTGGCGTCGCAATATTCGCCAATAATAGCAAGCCTACTAGGCCTACCTTCCAAGTGTTGGACATTGAATGTTTTTGTCATGAAATAAGCTTTGAATGTGTGGGAATAGTTTTAGATAATCCTAAAATCATAATTGTTTGTATATATCACTCTCCTGCAGGGGATGAACTTATATTTCTGAATAATCTGGAGCTACTACTGATCCACCTGAGTAAATTGAAGATGAATATTGTTATTGGTGGCGATGTAAACTCAAGATTTGATGTTACCCGAGATCAGCCTAGTGTTAGAAGATTACTTAACCTACTCAGGCAATTTGATTGTGTTTACTTAAATGACAAGCCTACTCGCAAAAAAGCTTGTCTGGACAATATTTTTACAAATGTCCCGATCAACTCCTGCTCCACACACATCGTTCACCCTGACATAGCTGATCACGAAGGCCTGGAGTTGAGGCTAATAACGGCATCAGAAGCTGCTAAACCATATATTGAGGAAATTATGCACCGCAGTCTTTCCCCAAGGTGCTTAAACAACTTTAAAGCTGAACTGGGGAATGTGAACTGGCCTAACATCCTGAACAGTAACCGTGCGGCCGATCAGTCAGCTGAAGAGACTTTCAATTTATTTTTTAACAAGCTGATTGATATTTTCAACTTAACTTGTCCTGTTAGTTACCTAACCGCAAAGAAGATTTCCGGACGTAAGGACAATAGGCCTAAAAGTGGAGTGGCCTGGTATAGTGATGACCTCAAGAAACTTAAGGAAACAGTTATGGCTTACCGTACTGTCTACATGAACCTTAGAACTGATGCCTCGTACAGTGCCTACAAAGAACTTAGAAACCTCTATAAAAACGTTGCGAACAGAGCAAAATTAGCCGCAAACGCTGACTTCATTGAGCGATCAGCAAACAAATGCCAAGCAGCGTGGACGATAGTAAGGCGAGTTTCTGGAGAGAAGAAGGAGGTCAGCAACAACCATTCTGCCGAGGACTTCAATAGATTCTTCATCGACTCCGTAAACGATGTTCGAGCCAGCATTCCTGTGAGTCCCCTGCCTGCGGATCACTTCCTGCAGCAAGTGAAGAGGCCCAGCACCCAACTTGAGTGGAATGAAGTGTCATGTGATGATGTGCTCAGTGCAGTGTCAAAAATGAAATCCTCAAAAAGCAAAGATGTGTATGGTCTCACAAGCAATATTGTTAAACACATTATCTTTGAAATAGTAATGCCCCTTGTCTTTTGTATCAACCTATGTCTGAAAGAAGGTGTTTTCCCAACCTCCCAAAAAATTTCTCGAGTCATCCCAATTTTCAAAAAAGGGGAAAAATCACAGATTAAAAATTATCGTCCTATTTCTCTGGTCCCTATAATTGGCAAGATCATTGAAGCTGTCATCAAACCTCAGGTATGTTCTTTTTTTGACACAAACAAAATTTTTTCAAATTTTCAATTTGGTTTTCGTAAAAGTTTGTCTACCGTGGATGCCCTGGACCACCTTGTTTCTAAGATTTTGAGAGCTTTTGAGGAGTCGAGCTTTGCTCAGATCACAGCTTGTGATCTGAGTAAAGCATTTGACTGTATTGATCACAACATACTCATCACTAAGCTGGAGTACTATGGCATCCGCGGTATACAGCTTAAGTTTTTTGATTCATACCTGAGAGAGAGAACTCAATTCGTTGATGCAGGAGGCAAGATGTCAAGCTGCTTGAAAGTTAGCTCAGGTGTGCCACAAGGCTCGATTATAGGCCCCCTTCTTTTTATCACAGTCATCAATGACCTACCAGCCAATATTAAAAGATCCTCTACCATCATGTTTGCGGACGACACCAATTTTTTGAGTGTTCATCCCAACTTTTATGATCTTATGTCAGTAACTGAGCTCACAACTGATTCAGCTTATATGTGGTTTAATGCTAATAGCCTTTGTCTTAATAAGAATAAAACTCAAAATCTATTGTGTAGTCTTAAAAACATCCCAGTAGAGTCACAAGATGTAAACAATGAAAATGTAATTACAGTTTTAGGAATAAAAATTGATAAATGTTTAAGCTGGTCTCCTCAGATAGATTTGGTTTGTGCAAGATTGTCCAGAGTAATCTGTTTGCTTAGAAATCTTATGGGTGTTGTACCTGAAACCTACATAAGGGTAGCCTACTTTGCATTTTTCCAATCCATAATTAGCTACGGCTTGATTCTTTGGGGAAACAGTAGTCACATAAGTGAAGTGTTAATACTCCAAAAGAAGGTAGTTAGAATAATAAACAAAGCTCCAATTGAAGAGCATTGCAAGCCATTGTTCATAAGAAGTAGAATATTGACTGTGATTAATCTGTACATATTTATGTGTTTACTTAGGGTTAAGAAAAATACTAGTTCCCATGTTTATAGGTTTAATATCCATTCACACAACACACGTAATCAGTTCCTATTAGACGTGCCTTATTGTAGGTTAAGTAAATGTAAAAATAGTTACCATGTTATTTCATTAAGATTATTTAATAAGCTTAGCATCAATGCCAAAGAATTGGACCTTAAGTCATTTAAAAAAAGAGCTCAGGATTGGTTACTTTTAAATCCTTTTTATGACTTAGAAGAATATTTTAAGGTTGACGAAGTTAACTTTTAATGTCCTCACATTTCCACATTGTTTTTTATTTGTAAGCATATGTATTAGTATAGCCTATTTTGACTTGTTTTTAGGCTTGTTTTGTTTTGCCTAAAAATAGGCTGTTTATGTAATAGCTGAATTTTCTTGACTTTTGTCTATTGCATTTGTTGTAAATGTTGAAGGACAATAAAACGGTTCTGATTTCTGATTTCTGATTTCTGTTGCAGACGAGTCAAAGAACACATAATACTTGATAGTTCTTGAGGCTTCTTCAGAAGTAGGCCTAGATGGCAGTTAAGGTTGTTCTTGTAACTGCCATCTAGGCCTACTTCTGAAGAAACCTCTGAAAGAGGCGAAATGTCAAGTATTATTATGTGTGTGTTTTATGTGTTCTTTGACTCGTCTGCAACCTTTCATCAGGTGAGTTGGCTGTGTCCTCTCCATCCTATATATTTATTTAATCCAAGCTAAATGCTTTTTCCTAAAATCATTACTTTCTATATAATAATTTTTAGTTTTTATTGAGAAATACACTCATATATATTCACCTCTGTTATTTTCTTCTTGTTAGTCGTAGTACCTGTTAAATATTCAACCCGCACGAGGTAAAAGTAGAAAATTAGGACATACACCTAGCAATATGTTAATTAATACTTCGTAGAATTTAGGTTACCCTGTGTACGCCAGTCGCCGAATCGCCACCAGCTCTATAATAACATCGTAATAAGCGTGTAGCAGGTTAGCAGCAGTGTCGATCTACGCATCGCTGGAACAAAGCCAAACTCGGTCTCAAAACTCAAAGTTATGGATTGAATTACGTCCTGGTCAAATATTTATTGTATTTTAAATAGGGATAGGCCGATATGAGAATTTCTTGATTCTATACCAGTTCTGAAATATTACTCACAATTCTTATATGGATTCCGTGTAAAAACTCATATTTTTAAGGAATTTGCCATGGTCAATGTTTTAGTATTTGTCTGTGTTCGTGTAGCAAGCAATG